ATTTCTTAACATTCTGTTGTTTATAAATAAATAATAAATAAACTCAAAAATGAATATTGACCATCAATTTTTGTAGTTATGCTAGTTACTGAATCCTAACCTGTGGGCAGGCATTTCAGTGATCGATTTGCATAATAGAGAGGAAAAACGTCTCGGCCAGTAATGTGAGCTCTCAGCCACCAGTTTTAGCTCGCTTCATCCCACTCGAGTTGAAAGGTGAAACACTACCACCACTCGGACCAGGACTTTCCTCTCTGAAATTTGAATTCAGCATTGCTAATTCACGCAGTTGTTGTCTTTTGATATAATCATTCGGCTCGTCCTGTAAACACAACTGACGAACATTTAGATTTGTATGTAAAAAACCACTACTCCTAAACACATGGATTGCAAGAATCATTTCTTCCTTTTCTGTTCTTGGACTGCAGATGTCAACCATGATCACCCCAAGGACATGTTTAATAGCATCTCATGAACAAAAACACATGCAATGACAATAATTCCTCTATTGGACCCATCTCTATCATAAACTCAAATAAAACTTGATAAGAACCAGGTTGGAAAGTAACAGTACCACAGGTTTGAGTAGTTCTTCTATTATTTCTTGTGCCTGTCTCAACCTGATATCGATGATATTGGCTGGTAAGTCAGCCTCGATGAGGACATGCAGCGGTTCGTTCAGATGTTCATAACCAAGTCTCCCTCGGAGTTTCTCTTCCTTCAGAGTTTAAAACAGTCATAGATAAAGAAATAAATAACCAGAGAACTCAATATTAACATTAGCAGATACTACCATCAAACACAAAAAGAAACATCCAATGGTAAAAGCTTCACTTAAAGAGCAATTTCACCTAACATACCTTTTCTGGATCTTTAATTGACCCCTTTCCTCTTATATACACACGACATCCGGTAGTAGCTTCTACCCTTTTTAGAGAATTGCCTCTAGGTCCGAGAAGCCGCCCAACAAAATTGAACTGAGGTCCAAGAAACAAAACAACCAAAAGTTTTATAAATCCAGATCTAATGATGAGATTAAAAAAAAAACGTGCAATAATACTTTTTTATATAGAAATTACATTCGGATATGTCTCCACTGGTATTTCCAACCGCAAAATCTTCTTTACAGTAAATGAACTCGGGCTTGCAGGAGCACCTTGCCAGTCCATTGTCGTTCCAGGATTTCCACTTAATCTGGGCTGTGAAAAGAAAAAACAAGTGGTATTGGTGGTCAAAGTTGATTTTACAAAAAAGCTAGTGTACAAGGCCTAAAAGTTTCACAACTTTGGGTCGTATGCATCTTATATAACTGTAGGAAAAATTCTAGAAAGCCTGCAAGTCAAGATAAATGTAGAAGACAAGATGGAAGTTTCTACTACCTTCCCAAGAACCCAAGAAAACAATCCCATATTAAGAACAAACAATCGTTTCTTACTTACAGGAGAGAGAGATGATTAGCATACAACATTTAAATGACAAGAACTAAAAAACATGTAAGTTCCTCCATTCCACATCACTTTGAAGCCTGCTGCAGTTTGCAGTAATACTATTGATTAGTTTATTGTGCTGGTATACTATTGTTTCAAGTTCATGAGCAACGATAACTTGGGGGCTTTAACTTAAAAATTAAATGTCTCGTTTGATAACCATTTGATCTTTGGTTTTTGAAAATTGTGCTCATTTTCTCATCAATTTTCTACAATGAATTTTATCTTTCTTAAGAATACATTTGAATTCTTTCCAAATTTCAAAATCAAAAACTAATCTTTTTTAATTTTCAAAACTTTTGGTCTTTTAAAACATGGATAAAAAGTAGATAACAAAACAAGAAAACACCGGTGGGAAGTATTTATAGGCTTAATTTATAAAAAACCAAACGGTTATCAAACGTGACCCTAAATGAAAACTATCTACCATATATGCATGGTTTCATGATGACTATTACACTTTTATTTAAGCAACTTGATCATAGAGAACTACCCTGCATAGTAAACAGTCAAATTAGCTCCAGAGTTTCTCAATATACAGCCTCGAGAGGACTAGTCGAGAAGACATAGAAGTAAACTCGACCAATTCACATACAAGTTCATTCCTACTTTATCTAGCAGTAACAGCCACTTCAGCATACAACTTGGCGAAATAGAGTGACAATTAAAAAAAACAAAAATCATATAATTGTAGAAAGTTCACAAAACATGAATTTTCTTAGGCAACCATCTAATAAGTTAGCAATCAAAATGTTGTTAGAACTTCAATATGTCAAAAGCCAATTGGAGCATTACATGGCGGTTGGAAGCTTTTAAGTTGGATAAGTTTCAACCAAACATGCAGCAGCAGAATTCCAATTAGTGGTCTGTTCAAATGAATCTTAGGAAATCACAATTGGTCTGAACAAACTTACCTCCTGAGGGAGTCCATTCCAGCTGCCAAAACCTGTGCCAGAAATGTTTGACATGAGGTTTGAAGAAGCCATTGGACTAGGGCTTCTATGTCGTAATCTGTCGAAGTCACTAAAACCCTGGTTGGACATCATTCCAGAAACTCGCAAAATCTCTGCACATAAAGTAACTTGTCATAAAAAAATCACAATAACCTTTGCTTGAACAACATTCCAGAAACCTGCAAATTTTCTACACAAAGAAACTTATCATATGAAAAAAAAGAAAAAAAAAAACAAAGATCCACAGTTCTGAAGATTAGAACGTGCAAAAAGTAGACATGGATTAGCAGAGTCAAATATAGATACCAGGTTAATTCTTCATCAATTGAGAAAGGATTTGATTTTTATTACTGTCTAGGTAGGCTTCTCAATAATTATTTAGGTTCTTATTTAAGATAGTTGAATGCTTCAGAGGTCTGAAGCATTGGCCAGCAAAACATGTCTCATATTTCATTAATATTTCTGCCTTTTACTTATCATGGGTAATAGGGGATGAATATTCCATTAATATTTCTCCAGATCTTAATGCACGTCTTGAAATTTCTTATTCCTTGGTGAAAATTTTGTATAAACTGATTGTGTTACATGTGATTGTGGATGAATTAATTGACAGGCGTTGATTCTTATTGGATTTTTTGAAATGCAATGGACTATTAGGATGGTTTTTTTAAATGAATTAATTGACATGTGATTAGGATTTTTTGAAAACGCTTAGTAAGAAATTTCCACACTCTTGTAAATAATGTTTCATTCCCCTCTCCAACCGATCCACAATCCACTCCCCTCCGGTGCGAGTGTCCTCGGTAGCACTCGTTCATCTCTCCAATCGATGTGGGATCTCATAATTCACTCCCCTTCAGGGAAAGCATCTTCGCTAGTACACTGCCCAGTGTCCACCCCTTTCGGGGCTCATCTTTCTCGCAGATCCGATATTGGTTGGAGAGAGGAATGAAACATTCTTCTTTATAAGGGTGTGACAAACTTTATAACGAATCAGTTTTGTGGCAAGCTAGTTTCTTGGTGAATATTTTATCAAAAAGGAATAGGATATTTCTTGGGATGGAAGGAGACGGATAGATACTCAATCTGTCTTGAGATTGGAAATAAGATAGTAAGAACGAAATTACATTGGTTTATAGCATTTAAATGGGCTATCACTCTCCTACAAAACTAATACCCAAAATTCTGCCTACAAATGGTTAACTAACTCTATATACAGCAATCAACTCAAACAAACTTCTCAAATAATAACAAACACACCACTTATAATATTCTCTGCTAATACTCCAACTGATCTAGATTTTGGTTCAATTTAATGTCTCGACCTTGTACTAACTTTTTTTTTTTTGCTGCTCAAGATCATGAAAAGTGAATTAGTGTCAATTAAACTCACTTGCATAAATGTTTTAGGAAAAAGATTTTGACTGAAAACTTGCAAGTTTGTCACTAGAGTGAGCTCATGAACACTAACAACTTATATGTAGATGAAATATGAATAAACAACATGAATTTTTAAAGCTGTTAAAGTATGTATTGCAAAAGCTACTCCAAGAACAGCTAACACTAAAGTAGAGTAATGACTGAAGAGTGGTTCAACATTTACAATCAATAGCAAGAACAACAAGTACAACAAAATTCATGGTGCTGCCGATTCAGAGTACTCCAGAACAACCTTCAGAATCTCTAAATTCCATCAACACAAGAAGCATCTCATTCATATAGATTATAAAATAGAAATCTCAGATTAGATATACAAATGGCAAGAATCTCAATCTTATAGATTACGAAATCAGAAGGGGCGGTGAAGATTGGATGATGAAGGCGATCTAAGTAGATAGGCAAGAACAGTGGGAGCGAAGAGAAAATCACTGAAAACTCACCTTGATTCAAAAGGCGTTTACAAATAGGAAGGATTTGCATGAAGGGACCGAGTTTCTGATGCTCAGCCAACAGCTCCGACAAGTACTGACTGAGGGAGAAAAAGGCGGAGAGAGATCAGAAGAAGAAGAAGATGAAGTGATAGCATATGCTTGGAATTGAGATAGATAAGGTACCTGTCAGCATCGGCGGAGGTTCGAATCTGAGGAGAAGCAGCTCTTGCAGGGGAGAAGTTGGGATTATACAAACCTGACATTACTGGTAGCTTGCTTTTTATGGTGTAAGCTTGATTCAATTATTCGGAATCTGAAGAAATGAAGAAAGAGATTTGAGGAGTTCTTGATGCGGAAGAAAAAGGGAAGACAGAGTCACCAATAAAGGGTAGCTCAGCTCTTGGGGTCTGCAGTGAGTGAGAATTTGCAGAAAGGAAGGGATTTTTTTTCTTTTTTTTTTCTTTTTTTTTTTTATAAATATATTTTAATTTTCTTTTCACCGTTTGTGAGACAAAATTGTAAGAGACAAAAGTAAAGCGAAATAATTGGAAGAAATTAAAATAAAAAGACAGAAAAACAAATGGTACGGGAAGAGGGACATCTTGCTAAGGAAGATAAAACTATATATATATATATATATATATATATATATATATTTTTTTTTTTTTTTTTCAATTAATTTGGGTAGTCAACCTCCCTCCTGCCTTTACACTTCAGGGCCAATCTCCGTCTAGCCTCAGAAAACCTTTGCACGACGACCCAGTTACCTTTTGGGAGGCCTACGCCCCAGAAACTGTCTTCATGAGACTGTCTCTTGGCCAGTAAGTCTTGACACGAGGTTAGAATTCTAGCTCCCCGTTCCCATCTCGACCACCTATTTCATTCTTTGTGAAATTCTCCTTGCTGAGGAGATTGTTGATGAGGAATTGACTAAGATCAGGTTCCCACTAAATTATCAAAAATAAATTAGTTATTATTAGTACCCAAAAAAACTAATTAGAAGATTAAAGCATTATACCTAAGGAGACTACCAAGCTGGAGTACAGAGACTATTACCAAACTAGAATACGATAGAGGCAAGGAAAATTTTCGATGAAATGCGTAGATATCGGAAAGAACACAATGGCGAAAGTACTATGCTGGGCCGAAACTGAGTACGAAGACTACTACTAAACTGGAGTACGATAGAGGCAGAGAGAATTTTCGATGCAGCTGTGAAATGCGTAGAGATCGAAAAGAACACCAACAGCGAAAGTACTATGTTGGGCTGAGACTAAGAGACATTGAAACTAAATGAAGGGGGCGAAAGTACTATGTTAGGCTAAAACTAAGAGACAAAAGTTGAAACTAAGTGAAGGGAGCGAATGAGATTAGACACTCCAGTAGTCCTAACTTGATAAAATTGACGGAGCCCGCATAAGCGGAGAATTCATCGAAATTACACATCAATCTAACGAAAAACCTCTATACATTTTTATTACATTTTTTATTATTTTATATTTAAAGAGTAACAGACACCAAAATCAAGGACAATAGTTCTTTTGCTAAAAATTTGGAAGGTTTTCTTAGACACACGTGTTATGCATGCGTAGTTAGTTAAAAATCAATTTTATAACAGAGGGAGAAATGGGCCAGCCCAATATCAATTTCTTAAATTTCAATTTTCACCCAAATCTCTCTCATATTCAATTTTCACCCCCGGAAAACCCTCTCATATTCAATTTCTCCCAATATTCTCTCATATTCATTTATTCAACTTTTTAATTAAAAATAAAATATTAATACCTAAAACATTCAATTATTTGTTTCCAATTAATATTTTAAAATTTTGAAGGTTTTAATTTAAGAGATATCATAGAATTAATAATAATAATAATATAATTATGTAATTAAATAAAATCATAATATATATATATATATATTCTTACCATTGTTGCATTAAAAATGTAACTTAAATATATTTAAAATTTTGAGATTAAATTCAACTACAACTCAAAATAAATTTTAATTTATGTGGATCATATTAAATTAATTATGAAATTAAGAGTGGTTTAAGACTAATTAATTATGAAAATCAATACAATACAATAGAAATACATGGATGAAAGGAAAATATTGTGTGGTTGATGATTTTTGTATAGAAAAATCCAAAGCAAACAAAACCATTAAAATAAAATAAAAACAAATATTATAAAAATAAAAAATAAAAAGAAAAAAAAGAACCCAAAGTTGGATTCGATCCATGGCATGGATGATGATGGTGGATGAGAGGATGGATCATGTCCGGACAATAACACTGCGCATCATGTCCTTAAACTCAAAGAAATCGACTCGTCCATCCTTATTACGATCAACGGACAAGATCATCTTCTGAACGCTATCGATCTCATTCCCTTCCGACAACCTCAGCTTCCTCAGCACCACCTGCAGCTCCGCCGCGGAAATGTACCCATCGCCGTCCTCATCGAACACCCTGAACGCCTCCGTCAGATCCGACTCCTCCTGCGACATCCTCTTCTCTTCTTCATTCTCTTCATTCACCTCCCCGTCCTGTCCGCCGAAGTAGGCGTCGTTCAATGACTGGTGCAGCGCCGCGAAGTCTTCAAATCTCAGCCCCTCATTTCCCGTCTGGATGAAGGAGTTGACGGTGGAATCCAGCTCGGATTCCTCCGCGTCCAGGCCGAGCAGGGACAGAGCTTGGCCCAGCTCCTCGCTGGTGATCATGCCGTCGCCGTTCTTGTCGAACATGTCGAATATGCGACGGAGACGGAGGGAGTTCAGGCTAGGGCATCGGAGCTGGAACGAAGAAGAACTCGACGGTTTCTTCGACAGCCGTGGTCGGGAAACGTCTGATTCCGATGAGGCTTCGCCGTCCATTTCCAAACACTACACCAAAATTGGCGTCTTCACATAATTTCATCGCCCAATTATAAGGCCTTGGAATTTCCATCTTTCTGATTTCAGAAATTATATAAATATAATACTTTTCTTTTTAATTTTAATTTTAGTAAATTCAATAAAATTAATTAATTAATTAATTATAAGGGATGATCCGTGCTCGGCGGATCCAGAGTCCTTGACCTCGCCCATTCTTTTTTTTATTATTATAATTTAAAATTAAATATTTATGAGTGTGATTGAAATTATTAATAAATAATTAACCAAACTTTAATTCTCGACCATATTTATTCCATCAATAATTCAACCACTCATAAAAAAAAAGTCCAAATTTAGGGTAGGTATTAAATTTATTTCTTTATTTATTCCGAGAAAAAAAAAAGAGTTAAATCTAAATATAAATATTTAAAAATTATAATTTTCTATTTTTTTTATATGTCTCGCCATTTATATTATTAACTTATAGCACGTATATTTTAAACATTAAAAATGTTAAAGCTAAATTTTAATTTAATTATTTTATTATTTAATAAAAAAATATTTTGCACCTTTTTTCATACATGTGTTTTCTCACTTATTGTCAACAATTAAATGATGCACGTTGAAATAATTTGGTGTGGTCGAGAATAATAGACATGAAAATATAAAATAATTTAATATTTTTTTAATAATATTATTATTTTTCTTTAAATAAATGGTTTAAAATATTGGTTCAATTATTTTAAGAATGTATAAAAATAAATGGTAAGAAGAGGCTCATCAATTTCACTGTTAAATTTTTTACATTTTCAAATTTTCTCCTACTTTTTCAGCTGTTAATATTAAGTATTTTAACATATTTAAATTTTCAATTGATTAATTTATATATTTCTCCAATTTTGTTTTATAACTTTTTTATAATTATTCACTTCCTATCACTCTCATCAACAATTTAAACATTTTTAAAATATTTCTGTAAAAATGATAATGAAAAAACTTATAATAAGTATGAAACATGAGGGTCCCTTTCAAGCAAAGTTCTTTAGGTTCGGATTCGAAAAGCCCCGCATCATCACAACTCTAAATGGGAGTCCTGAGTATACGAGGGTCCCTTTCAGACAAAGTTCTTTAGGCTCGAGTTAGAAGAACCCCGCATCATCGCAATTCTAAATAGGAGCACTGAGTGTATGATCTAAGTTAAAGGAGTCTCACCATGAATCGGAAGGTTGTAAAGATAAAAGGGAGACAATGTAAAATAAATTTCAATATTATCTCGTTAAATATGATTATTTTTTGTAAGAATCTAATTTAAATAAAATAATATAAAAATTAATTTTTTTTTAGATTTAATAACGATAAAACAACTGTTATAATGATGAAATACTTATTTGTGTTAAATTTTAAAATTATTGTAATTTTTGTTACATAAAAATATAATTTAATTTTGTATGATAATAAAGAACAAAATTAAGTTCATTACATTTTGAAATCATAGATAAACCAACTTAAAAGATGAAGCTACAATAGAAACTAAGTAACGTGCATTATGGGATTCGTAGCTCGGTTCAATGCTCGATTTTAGCTAAGTCGAACGAAAATCAAAAGCTCCAAACAAACAAACATAGATCGAAACCCGAAAAGAGGGAGGATCAAAGTGTTCTACAAATTCTACTTGGATATATATAAACTTTAATTAATCTGACTGTCTGTGTTCTAGTTTTATTAATTGCAAGGTTCCATGTATATACATCCCAGAGTCGAAGTCCGTGGCTATATACAAATCCCGGGATTGGATTTGGATCGGATCGGATCAAATCGAGTAATTGGGCTGTTTTCGGAAGGAAAAAAGAGAAAAAACTCATGAACTACTACTGGTTCGGGTTCATTATTTGGAGGGCTTGATGATTTGAAACGAGCATAGCAAGCTGGAGTCGACGGTCATGAAAGCTCCGGCGTTATCGAACTCTCCGCAATAATTCGGCGCCGAAAATATCGTTACCAATTGCCTGTCTGCAAAAAACTCATACCCATCCTCAACCACCTGCGCAAAATCAGTTAGCAATTCGAAAATTAGGGTTTCAATGAAGACGAAATCAAAGCAAAGAGGGACCTGATGAGCGCGGCAAATTAGGTCGAGATCGTGTTTCTTCAAGAAATCGGTGACCTTATCGGCGCCGAACGTGAAGGAAACTCCCCGGTCATTCTCGCCCCAACCTCTGATTTCTCTGTCGGGATCCGCCCATAGAAGATCGCAGAGAAGCCCCTGGTCCGGCACGTCGATAGGTCTCTCTATATCTCCCACCTCCTCTAAGCTCTGCATTTCCGGGGAAAGTCCGCCGTGCATACAGAGGATCTTGTCGTCTATCACCGCCGCTACCGGCAGGCAATTGAAGCAATCTGTGAAGATTTTCCATAGCCGGACGCTGAATCTCCGTTTGCACTCGTCGTAAAATCCGTAGATCCGGTTGATCGAAGCGCATTCGTGGTTGCCTCGGAGCAGGAAAAATTTGTCCGGGAATTTGATTTTGTACGCGAAGAGAAGGGTTATGGTTTCGATGCTCTGTTTTCCTCTGTCCACATAGTCTCCGAGGAACAGGTAGCTGGCCTCCGGTGGAAACCCGCCCATCTCAAACAGCCGGAGAAGATCCGGGTATTGCCCATGGATATCACCTGCGAGCAAAAACAATAGCAAAATTCAAATCAATTCATAGATTCATGAGGAAGTGGGTGTAATACCACAAACGTTGATCGGAGCTCCCAATTGTAAGAGGTTGGGCTGGCTGAGGAAGACTTGCTTGACGGTGGTGCAGAGCTGCCGGATTTCTGGTTCGATTAGCTGAATCTTCTTGCCTTTGTTCTTCCTTCCTTCCATTAGCCTGTCTATGAGGCCTTCCAGTCCTTCCATTTCCGCCGCCGCGTCTCTTCTTCCACTCGACAATGGCTTCGTTACAGAGCAAGCAGGTGCAGGGTGGATTCCGGCCAGTTTCCGTTTTGGGTGTTAATCATGATCATAGAATAAGAAAAGAATTAAAGCCGTGGCGTTTGTTAACCAACGATCACTAACCTCCCTTCCCGGAATATTAGGGGTCCTATCGCCCTTTACACCGCAATTCACATAACTAGACGGGAGGGATGTGAATTAGAGAAGGAATTACTATGGCTTCCTTTGGTAGGTTCTTGTTCTTTCACACTTCCATGTTTCTAGTTTTTTTTCTTCTTTTTAATTTTATTTTTGGAAGAACGAGCACCCATCAATATTACATTAATATAACCGTCATCCACTTGAAGTTGGCTCGTATTAACGCCCTATGTAAAAGATCTATGGTTCCATTTCTTCGATTCACGAGAGGTGCATATATACTGAGTATCGATGAGACCATAAAGACAATGTCTCAACGCTACCAAAAAAATGTTACGTTTCTTCAATTTTGACAAACTAGTGTTTGAGGTACTTTATCACATTTCTAGCGTCAAGCTTGACATTGAAGAGTGTTTAATATCATTATCTATTTAGCTTTTATATTTTGAAAAGTTTTAAATAGCTTCCAAAATTGTGTTTATTAGGTGTATTTATTATATGTTAGGAATACATGATAGGGTAATTTCAAGCGATTTGAGCATAAACCTTCAATGACAACTAGCACGTCACATAGCCATCAAATGGACATAGTTAACAATAAGAAGCCTTGAAGTATGGAGCATATGCATGCACGTTGGGAGAAACTAGGGCATGTACAAGTATAATTAGAAAGGAAACTATAACATCGAAGCTTACATATTATGCATGTAAGAACTCAAACTCATCTCTAGTAGATGTTGTCTCTTTTTCCAACCGATGCAAGATCTCACAATCCACTCCCTTGAGAGCCTCACAATCCACTCCCTTGAGAGCCAGGAATGTTTCGTTCCCCTCTCCAACTAATGTGAGATCTCACAATCCACTCCTTGAAGGCCCAACGTTCGCTCGCACACTGCTTGGTGTTTGACTTTAATACCATTTGTAACAACCCAAGTCCACCACTACTAGATATTGTTCTCTTTAGATTTTGAGTTTCCCTTCAAGATTTTAAAACCTATTTTAAATGTTTCGTTCCTCTCTTCAACGTGGGATCTCATAATGCAAGATTTGATACCCTGAAAAGAAAATAGAGAGGCAAAATTGAGGAATGATCAACAACAAAGTGACAAAGGATGATGTTGATGAGGTTAGAACATACAGTCATCGTGGGCCTCCAGCCGAATAAATATCATCTAAATGTAGTTTGAATTCAAATAACAAATTGACAAAGCCGAATTCTTGCCAAAATATTCATGACCATATGTGGCAATGCCTCAAATGTAAATGTGTTTATATGCATAGATATTAATACAAGGTTCATAATCATATATGTGGCAACGCCTCAAAAAGGATTAACCTCATCAACATTCCTAGAACTGCTCGACTTCACTGCTACAAACACAACCAGCCAATATTCAGACAAGTTCAATGAATGCCATAGGCGCATTGTCCCCTCGCCTAGGCAGTGTTCTTAAAATTCTGGTATATCCACCATTTCTCTCCCCATACCTATCTTTGACTTCGGCAAATAAAGCGTGAACAATCTGCTTTTCGTAGATGAAGCCTAAAGCCTGTCTCCTTTTATGCAAAGAACCGTCCTTTGCTAACGTGATCATTTTGTCAACATACTTACGCACAGCACTGGCTCTTGCTCTGGTGGTCTTGATTCGACCATGCTTAAGGAGTTGGGTGGTGAGCCCTCGCAATAGTGCACGCCGTTGGTCAGGAGGCCTGTTGAGCTTAGGTACCCGCTTGCCATGTCTCATGGCAAAAACTCGGTAACCATTATCAACAATTGTAAAGTTTTGTTCAAAGCTGTTGTAATCTGCATCATGAACAGGAATTCCATTAGAAATTGTTTGAACATCATGCTCCCAAGAACTTGTATGAATCTCAGGAATTCCATTAGAAACTGTTTGAAAATCATGCTCCCAAGAACTTGTATGAATCTCAGGAATTCCATGTGCGCTTATAATCTTCAAACAATTCTTTTTATTTGATGAGATTTACGTAACAAGTGACAAGGTATTATTTTTATTATAGTTGTGGGATTCTAGGATAGTTTATGACTATTTTTATAATCTAATCTTTGAGAATATTTGCTAAAACCATCACACCTAAATGTTAGTGAAGGTTCTCTATTTATAATCATTTGCCGAATCAAATAAATTACAAAGAAAATAGTAATGGAATCAAATAAATTAAAAGAAAATGGAAATAACAATAAATGTATACACGATATTAGCCTATGATCAAGGGTTAAATATGATACATATGGTAAATCATAATTCAAGGCTAAATATTCTTGAAACTACCTAACGTTCTACTACATTCAACAACAAAAAACTTAGTACAATACTCGGCCACTAAATTGCAGAGTTTTGAAACGTTAACTTCGCTCATCAAGTGATATGCGGAAGTAATTATAAGCTCCATGAGAGCAATATTCAAGAACATCTATATCATGTGCACAAGAATTTAATCTATAAGCAAAGTTTATACCCAACCTAGTACTAAGCAAGCACATGACTTTGTCCAGCTCGGTAAATATAGGCGCAAAATGTAATAAAATTATGGTGTCCAGAACACAGGTGTTCAATTCATGTCTAAATTCATTAGAGGCGAGTAAACCTAAGCAAAGGAGCGATGGGGTGGGACGAATTTTGTCTAGAACCCGTAGGTAGCTGTCTTAATAGGTATCGAATCAAACCCTTCGTGAGGAAGAATCAAATTTACGAGTTGAAAGTCTATATTGACAATAATTGATTCATAGAGAATCTTGTACATTGCTGCCTTAATGGAGGATGGATGCTTAATGATCGAAATGCTGAAAATTCACTTACTTCAATCCAGTCCTATTGTTGACAATTGTTCGACAGACAAAATGCTGCAGGGATTGGAAATAAATACTCGTTCGCACGGACGGAGCAAAGAAAGAAGGAAATCTAAAGATTTTCACGTTTCCTCTCCCATTGAAACTCATTAGGTGTGCAACAAACGGTGATCGACATTTCATATTTCATTTTCCGCGAATATGAACTCAAGATTTCTCATTGTTCCCAAAATTAGCAGGAGACTTCAGTGTAGGATTAGTAGGAAAACGCTTCCGGATAAAAGAGACACACCAATTCAAACAGAAATCAAAACCGAAAACATAAAACTATTGCAGAACCATTGAATTCATAGAACGTAAGTCAATCAGCCATCAGAGGCAGAATAGACGCACGAATCCGCAGAGTAAAGATCAAATTAGACGATGCTACACAAGTAGCGAATGAGAGGGAACGGAATTACCTGATGAGCCAATAGAAATGAGAGGGTTCAAAGGGCACAAGCCCGAAAAAGAGGCAATCTGTTTGCTGCAGGTTCTGCCACTGACTCGACCATTGGACGACGGGAAGCTGACGCGAGAGGGAGTACGAACTCCTACTTCCACAGAAGGTAGCGCTGACCTCATTGACGAGAAGCTCCACCGGCTGTTCGCCGTTGCCGTCGCCGTCGTAATCGCCATTGCCATTGTAGGAGTGTCCCAGTCCGTGGACTATGGATAACAAGATAAGGATAGGTTGTCTAGACGGCTTAGGAGCGAGCAGTTTCAAATATGCAGTTAAATTACTACTCCCCGAAGCGTTTCTGGACACCCGATTCAGCGGCCCAAGCCCAGCAAGATAAGATTTTTATTTTTATTTTATTTTATGTCTGATAATATATTACATATTTTTTTTAAAATATACATATATATATATATATTTACCCATAAAAATTCTAAGTAGCCTCCTTTCTTTTTACAAATTTATTTATTTATTTATTTACTATCTATATATGAACGAAAATTGTGTATCGACGTCTTATAAATTATTACTCTCGTAAGTTCATGAGTATTTTTGATACGTGATATTAACCATGAATGTATTTTAATTTATTTTAGAATTTAAAAATATTTTTAAAGTCTTCTTTTTAAATTTAAGAATATTAATAAAAATTTTTAAAATTAACTGCATTTTTTAAACCAATTTTATAATTTAAGAATATCTTAAAAATAAAATATAAATTATGCAAAATAAATGAATAATTTTGGAGGAATGATTGAAATAAATAAAATAAAAAATGGAAAATTTAGAAATATTATTTTATGGGTACTGTTTATTTGGTAAGAGATCAAGACAATACCGCGCAATGGCGGAAGGCAAAAAGTTGAAGGCAGCCGGAGGGGGCGTCGGCGTTTAACAACGTTACTGCCAGAAAGGGAAAAAGATTAGACCAATCTCTGAGAAGAATGAAAGTGTTGTGGAGCAGCAATTCCATCTCTCCCAGGACGTCTGCCATTGCTACTGTCACTGTCATTGCAACAGTAATTTGTCCATTTATTGCTTTTTGGTCCGCGTAGTCAGCACAACACCCGAGCCTACCGCCGTCAGCACTGCTGCTTCACAGTCCCAGTCAAACTAGTCGAGTCGGAATGGGGAACTGCGGTACCAGAGAAGAGTCTGCTGTTGTTTCCAATGCTCAAGGTATTCTTCTGATTTATGAATTTTTGCATCTTCTTCAAAAAAAACTCAGATCTAGGGTTTTTTCTTTCTTTCTCTTCTCTCATTTTGTCTTTGGCAATGTGCTGGTTATCTATATCCGCGCTTTCGGATTAGTTTTGTCGAATTTTCAACTTGGAAACGAACTGAATCGAGCTAAAATCGGTATGGTTGTGCTGAAATTCTGAACTCAATTGTAGTATTTTTCATTATTGTGCAGTTCAACAGTTGCATACGTTATCGTCTTCATTGGCTGTGAAAAACGGCAGCAACAATGCTACAGATAAAAAGCATATTCATAACCGGTCCATATCAGATCTAAGCGATCCTTCAACCCCTCGCAGCCTCGAGGATTTGAGAAAGAATTCGGTGCTTTACACACACATTATTGCCTTCACATTGTTCGAGCTGGAAACTATCACCAAGAGTTTCCGTTCCGATTACATTCTGGGAGAGGGCGGATTTGGAACTGTTTATAAAGGCTACATTGACGAGAACGTCAGGGTTGGCCTCAAATCTCTTCCTGTTGCTGTCAAGGTTCTCAATAAGGAAGGCCTCCAGGGACATCGAGAATGGCTTGTATGTCTCTTCTCTCACGTCACTGTGCAAGTCATGTTTCTATTTGGGATTTCATACCCTTTGTTGCTTTATTGCAGACAGAAGTCAACTTTCTTGGTCAGCTAAGACACCCAAACCTTGTAAAGCTGATTGGTTACTGCTGCGAGGATGACCACAGATTACTTGTCTACGAGTTCATGTTTAGAGGAAGCCTTGAAAACCACCTCTTTCGAAGTACACTCTCATCTTGCTCTCGCTCTTCTTTACTTCGTTGTTCAATAATTAGTCATTTGCTCTTGCATTTATCTTAGCATTGGCTAGGCACTAACACTAAACTTAATTCTGGGGGCTACTTAATGGTAGATGAAATAGGCTAATACTTAATGGTAGATGAAATAGGCTATGTGGATAATTAGAGATTTATTGACTTAAGCATAAAGCACGCTCATCTTAAATTAAACGTTTGGTCTCTTCCCCCGCTTCAATCTACAATCTATTCTTTATATTGTTTTTTCGATATGTGTACATTACTTAACCCATGCAATCGGAAGACACAGTGCAATGCTTATTTTAAGTATTATTTTTTAGTTTCGTGATTTCTTTTCCAGTTTCCTTGATTATATTGTTGTTTATTCTTAGTTTGGAGGATGCATGACAGTGGCCACTCCCAACAGGAATCATTTGTTTCATTTTCTGGTCATCTGGCATATCCGTTGGCAAAACATTCACGTGCCATTTGATAGCCTGACCCTGTATAACATCGCTATCTCAGTTTGCTATTCAGTCCATTCATTTTGATCTAGTATTTTGTATTACGTGCACTATTTTTCTGCTTGCAATATGACATAATTTCGATGTAGGTGTATTCGGAGAAAGAATGTGTATGGGAAGAAAACTAAAGAAATGGAAGAGGATGAATGATAATCTAGTTCTCATGGTCAAAATAGGCTATATCTGAATTCACTCTCGATCTAAATTTTATAATTGAAAAGCTTTGTATATGAACACCTTTTTTATGTTTAGGAGAACGTTAGCTTTCATAGAGAAAAATTTATGAATACAAATGGGGCTACAAAGTGACAACCCAACAAAAGGAGCCAAACCACCAAAACATTATATGGAAAAGGTTTCCAATTCAAAAGAAAAAAAAAAAAGGAAAATTAAAAAAAAAAAATCTTTAGAAATTGATGTACAAAAAGAAGCATTGAACCTAGCTAGAGATTAAACCCAAGTCAAATACACCATAGTAAAACAAAAATACCTGCATGCCAAAGGACACAACCCTTATAAAAGACGATGGGTGCAACCATCGAACAACCACCCTAGTTATGCGTCCAACAAATACCAAATGAACCAAAGAAATAGTCTCAGATGGCTTGAATAAACTCACAATTCCAAAGTTTCCATTTGCTTTTTGATAAATGATGCATCACTATGCCCTCAGCAAAAAGAAAGAATACCTTTTTGTGGTCCTTCAAAGGGGTTTTAAGGTTTTGGAACTTTTGGAGACTTCGAGGATGAGGATTTAAGAAGCTAGAGTTGTTGGGGCTGTAATAGGAGCCAATTTTGCCAAAGGCTGAATTTGCTGAGTTGGTCAGAAAGGAAAGTGTGAGGTTGGAGGTAGAAAGCCAAGGTGAAGTGGGCTAGTGATGGGGGATTGTAATACTGCTTATTATCATAGAGGTGCAAGTGGAAGAAGGAGCCATTTTTGATTAAAGGCTAAGTTTACTGAGTTGGTCAGAAAGGAAAGTGTGAGTTGGGGGTAGAAAGCCAAGGTGAAGTGAGCTAGTGATGGAGGAATGTGATACTGCTTATTTTCATAGAGTTGCAAGTGGAAGAAGGAACAAAAAATTTATTGGCTTATTTGGAAATGATGCTGGCGTTTTGTTGAAGGGGGACAAAGAGATTGAAAAGAAGATCATTTATTTTTCCTTCTTTGTATTGTTTGACAACTTTGATATGAATCATAAATGCACTCGGGCTGAAAACAGATTTATAATGTTTGGATATTATGTTTTTGCAAGAACCCAAAGCCAAAGGATCAATTTTACAGATTTATAAATATTTAGAAGTTTGATAAGATGTTGCATTGGAGTTTTGATGGGCTGAAAACAGCATATCCCATGGAAAGGTTTTCTAATCATTGGAAGGAGTAGTTTTGAAGCAAGATTTCATACTTTGATGTCTTGTAAACTTGAGGGTGAGTTATTGTGTGCGGGTTATTTTGTAATTTTGGGTTATTTGATTGTTAGTTGGCTAGCTTAAATCCTTTATAAATAAGAGATTCATTCTTTGTATTGGGAGACTTTTAAAATAATTGTGAACATTCCTTTGAGGATTCTTGAAGATTTCTCCTTTGATGCTTTGGTTGCATAAAAAATGACGTCCAAAATTTCTTGTTCAATTTGTCAGTAGCATTTCGAGATCAAGCTTGTTAGCAATACCTTTCTTTTTCTTTTTTAATAAGAAACAAGAATCACAAAAGGACAACCAAAGGTCAAGGGAAGAAAAAAAAACCCCATCAAGGAGTTACGAGAAAACTTTCCAATTTAAGTAAATCATAAGACTATAATTACAAAAGAATTTCTTGTGGTTTAAACTCCAGCAAGATGACATTACTCTAAATTTGACTTTTCTTCAAAGATTCGTTAATTTATTTCTTTCAATGTGGGCCAAATAAGCACTCTAATTGCACAACCACACAAATTCTTAGCTTTTCCTCTAAAAGACGTGTCCCTCAAATATTTAGTCAACCAATCTTCAATTTTAAGAGGCATGCTCTAGTCACGAAAGGACAATGAAGGAGCAGATGATCTATGGACTCCTTATTTCTTAGATACAAAGTGCACACTGAGGGGAGAGGGCCTAATTTGGGATTTTTTTTTTTTTTTGTTGCAATCTTTCAGCCATGTTCAAGCTTCTATAGCCTACAGTCCAAAGGAACAAATTCATCTTCTTTGGAAACTTTAAGCTTCCAAATAGAATTAAGCAAAGGATCTTTCAATCTACTGCTGATTTTTGTGTGGTATTGGAAAGTGGATTTGCTAGAGAACGCACCATTTGAGTCAAGGCTCCACCCCATTTTATCTTATACCGGTTCCCCAAAGGAAAAGAATCTATTTTTCTGATAAGCTGTGTCCAAGAGTGAAGTTCCCAGTCAAAGCCTGATTACTGTTATCCAAACAATCTGCTATAGAGGCTCACTTTTTTTTTTTTGAAAGAACAGCATAAATTTCTGGAAAACAGGCAGCTAAAGAGCTGACTGCAACCCGAATATCTTCCATAAGTGGATCCTTTGGCCATTTACTTACTGCTCTGAACTTCACAAAATGGAGAAATCCTTCACTGTTCTTGTCAAAGTCTATCCATGGTCTTCCTTTCGAACTCCCTATAGCTCTTTTTGGGTTTCCACGCCATACATGGTTGCAATGGTCCTTCAAAGAGCATTAGGTTCTTTGGAAAATTTCCAGAACCATTTGATGAGAAGGGCTTTAATTCCATGAAATAGGGCACATATTCCAAGACCATCATAACTGATGAGGAGAGAAATCTTCCATTTTACGAGGTTCCTTCCATTTTGATAATTTCTTCAAATCTGTTGATTTCTCTCTCTCTCTCTTTTTTTTTTGTTTTTTTTGTTTTTTTTCCCTTCTCTGCTCATCAAATTAGCTGATTAGCAATAGCACAATTATTGATCATCTGTGTATTAGAAATATAGCAAATTGAAATTTATTTTTGATAGAAGTGATGACCTTCTTAGCCATTCTAAGAGAATCTTTCCAATGATTTTGGCTAATAGGTTTGGATTTATTAACTGGTTTAGCATCAGATTTCTTCGGTATCAGAGGAGCATAAGTCTTGTCGAGACCAAAAATGATGACACTACTTATAAGAAAAAAAAAATCATTGAATACTTCAACTTTTTGAAGAATTCATAGTGAAACCATTTGGTCTTGGTGCTTTGTTGAAAGTTCAAGCCCAAGGAGTTATTTGCATCAAGTATTTTTGCTAAAGAAAATAGCTCTTGACGTTTGACTATGGGCAGCAGCTGAAATGAGAATCCAATGTCTACTTGGGAGAATATGTCAACCCTATATTTTGGTTTAAAGAGTTCATGAATTCATCTTCAATGACTTCATCAAAGAGTTGGATCCTTCCATCTCCAAAGAGAATTTTCATAAATAGACTTTTCCTGTCGTTACAGAATGCATACGGAGGATCTTGAGTTCCAAAAGCAACCGAAAAAGAAAAGAAAAAGAGGAAACTTATTTTTTGTTCTGTTTTGAGTAGTAATTGTCTGGTGCATTTGCATGGAAAGAGCGATAGATTTGTAACTCAATTTGGGGACACTTCATTTCTAGTATGTGCATGGTTCCCTAAATTATTTAAAAAAAATTTCTCATCTTTTGATGTCTAAAGATCGGGTCTTATTGTGTTATGGAGTCTTTCATTTTATCGTCTTTAGAGTTATGATGCTCCTTTCATTTTTTAATGGTTGATCTTTTTCATGTCTCATGTCTCTATCTCTCACACACAGTAAATATAAATTCAGCTAATTACCTTTTACTGCACTGTTCTATTGGTTAGAAAAAGGATAGCTAAATTTGTGTATTGATTAGTAATTTCTATTGTATAATTTATGCGACTGGCAATTTTTTGGGGTTTAGTTATGACTTGCATAAAAAAAACTAGCTTGATGCAATTGGGGGTCCTTTGTTAAGTTTTTCTTATAAAATAACAAAATATGTATGCTATTAATGATTACTTATAAAATTGTAGTACTTGGACTGGCTCCTCTTTGATTTATGTCGTACTAAATTTTACATCATCTTTTCTGTGGGATCTCAGAGACAACTGTTCCATTGCCATGGGCAAGAAGAATGATGATAGCTCTTGGAGCAGCCAAGGGTCTTGCTTTCCTACACAATGCTGAAAGGCCCGTTATCTATCGGGATTTTAAAACCTCTAATATACTGTTGGACTCTGTATGTGGAATTTATTATGAACCAACATCGTTATTATTCTTTTTTCAAGCTTATTCATGAGAGAATACTTCTCATTTGGCTCCACCTGGCTATTATTCTGCAGGACTATACAGCCAAGCTTTCTGATTTTGGGCTTGCGAAAGCTGGACCTCAAGGTGATGAGACACATGTTTCAACTCGAGTAATGGGTACTTATGGTTATGCTGCCCCCGAATATGTCATGACTGGTACGATCTTTTCTTTGTTATTAGAACTTCCCACAAACTTTTCATTCGCTGATTTTTTCTTTTTACAGTTATGCAAATGTACGTGTTAAGTTTTTGTATTTTGTGGTCTTTTGATGTATTCCTGCCATCTTTATTGCTCTTTTTAGCCCGCCTTTTTATTTCAATGTGAAGCCATTTTCACTATAGGATCCTCTATGTAAGGGAGAGGCTGTTCTTACCAGGAACAAAGTGCATAAGAGCTTAAGGCTCCAAGAACTATTGGTAGAATTCAAAAAGGTTTTGATTTTGATGCTTAAGGCTCCAAGAACTATTGGTAGAATTCAAAAAGGTTTTGATTTTGATTATGTAGGTTTTTTCTCCCCTTCTCCCAATTGGACTTTGTTCCCTTGCTCTCTTGAAAATGAAAAGAAATCAATGCTCAAACGATATAGACAAAGATAAAAAGACTATATATACAAAATTACTCTTAAACATTATTAGAGGTTAAAAAGATATGCTAGAAGTTTTAATAATGACTTGAGATGGTTTCGTGACAAGTGGAATACAATATTAGAGGTTCTTCTATTTGCTTTTCAAAGAGATTTTATCATAAATTCATGCTATCCTGACAAAGCTCTCTTGATGGTAGAAGCTCCTCTAGTTATGGCCTTGTTGCCCCAAACAAAGGATGAACTACCCAGAAGGCCTCCATTTTAGTCTCAAAAGCAATAAACAATTATTTTAACCACCATGGAAACGGTAAGCTTCTGATTTTAACCCAACCACCATAACGTGCCACCCAATCTGCCTCAAATTTTTTTTACATTCCATCTTTCAAGTATAAGGATGAAATTTCCAACTTTTTTCCATTTGTCCACAATTATCTGACCTTTATGAGATTTTAATAAGGCTTTCTCAACTCGGTAAGGATTGATCAAGAAATCCTCCACAATTTCCCTTTTAAGCGTTGCAGAAATTGCCTTGCAATCATCATGACGCGTCGTGACTTGAAATAATAATGGACTTCAACTACTTCCACCACTTAAAAGAGAATCCTTGAGTTGGAGAGTGGATATTGAGGTCAACATGCCACATTTCTTTTCCCTTGGTATATTCTTCACATATAAGTTTACAGTAATAGGCGTTTGTTTATGACAGCAAGCTACAAAGATTATGTAGCATCGTTTACTGAACTTTCAATGCTGAATATGAGTAAGGTTCTTCTCTGATATGGTGAAGTACCACCTTGTGGTTTTCATTGTTACCAATCTTCCATTTTGAAACCTATAGGTCACTTGACAGCAAGGAGTGATGTATACAGCTTTGGTGTTGTTCTTCTGGAGCTTTTAACAGGAAGAAAGTCTGTTGACAAGACAAAACCAAGCAAGGAGCAGAATTTGGTAGATTGGGCCCGACCTAAGCTAAATGACAAGAGGAAGTTGCTACAAATAATCGACCCCCGATTAGAAAACCAATATTCGACAAGGGCAGCACAGAAGGCCTGCAGCCTGGCATACTATTGCCTGAGCCAGAACCCCAAAGCAAGACCCTTAATGAGTGATGTGGTCGAAACTTTAGAACCATTACAGAGCAGCAACGGTGCAACTGAATCGGGAAGTAGCCCATTTGTTAGGGGGGGCATCCCTGATTACAGGATGCGGCAAAGGTTCGCCGACAATGTTGGTCCTGGTGGTGCCAATTGCCGGTCTCCTAACCCCACCTGTTCCCCCAGCGTCCCTGCGGCTTGTAGGGTTAGATGAAAATGCATCTTGTTTATTATTTGGCTTGCTCTTTTCCTTTACTAAAATCAAAATCTCCACTGTAAACACTGTTGACCACCAACCTGGATTTGTAATATTTGGCCATGTGTTGTGTACAACATTTGCAAGTGTAATTATTATATGGACTAGTCGCTCTAACTTGCATGCCAAGCTGCCGCCCCTCGGATGATTGATATAGTTCTTGATCGGCCGGTGGATGTGCTTCTTAAAATTAGCCTTACACCTTTTAGGGGGTGGCTGTTTTTGTAAACTATCCTGCTGCATGTTACCGACATCCTTGGCTTCAGCAGGATCGATCTTCTATTTTTCTTGCCTGAATGTGATGTGTTTGTGATATTGGGATTTTGATTTTGTAATTAAACTGCTTGTTTCGTTTGATTCTTGGCTTTTTCATGGTACCCTTTGTCTTTATCTAATGTTTGAATATTTTGTATCATTTATCATGATGTGTTGCAAACTGTATTATTGATCCTACATTCATAAATGTTTCTAAATTATCTTTAAAGTACCAATTTATTAAAATGTTAGATATTCGTGTAAAACGATGTAGCTCAAATGCTTATAGATTATGTTCATAAAAACTATATTATGTCACACTATTTTTCATTCAATATTCTAACCTATTAAGTTAGGTTGGAAAGTTTTTTTAACCAAAACTTAGTTGGTTGGGCTCTTGATTGGTGCAACTAATTCATAATCTAACCAACTTTATCTCTCTATTTTTTAGTGGAGTTCGATTGTTAAATTTTTTTTAATTATTTAAAAAAAATCATATTTATCTGCTCATATTATAGTACTAGTTACATAAAGTTCAAATATCAAATATTTACCAGTTATAAACTTCAAACTGTTAGGTTGAATGACTCAATGATGGTCACGACCTCATGTATTTATAAATGTGTATAATGAAGATTACATTCTAATTTGGTAACAAACCATGAAATCATAGATTTGGTAACAAAATTAGTAAATCTCTAGATTATCTTATTACTATACACAAATATGATTTATTCTACGTTTAACACACATTTTAATTTTCACAAATAGGATAAGTTCGAGTTTGGATTGTAACTCAAAAGGACTGACTAACTGGATCAAAAACATTCAATCCAATAAAATTTTAAAACAAAATTTAATCCAAACTAACTATTATGATTTTGTTCGGATTTTCTAGGTTTGGAAGCTTTGGAATGATCAACCATTTTTCATCTGATGCTTGCTCAAGAAAATCTTCAAGCTTGTCTTCAATGGAGGTGGTTAGTATCAACTCAGCTTCTGTAAAAGCCTATTTAGCAATAATGGTAACAATGGAAGTCGTCCCTCCCACTCAATGAAGGCGTAGTTAATGGGATATCAATAATTTCGGGCTTCATATCTCTGGCACGCAGTCGACCAAGTCAAGTGGAGCAATAGATTAGCATCCGATGATGACGATGGCTGTGAAAAGGAGTCCATAAACTATCCATCGGCCACTCAATTGCCCGAAGAAGGAAGTTTCGAATAGGCATTTGAATTGAATCTCGAGTTTAATTTGTGGGGCAGCCTAAACCTAATCCCGCTGAATGATAATTACATCCACCGGCCTGCATTCAAGTTCATTTCGAAGTGAAAAGGTCAATTACGATCAGGATTTAATGATGAACCATTACTTGCTGTTCGACTGTAGTGGGATGGTTGATTGGCTTTTAAGACAAGCCAAATCATTTCCATTTACAACATCAACCAAGAAGAAGAAGGAATTATATCATCGTCTTCTTATGCTCCTCGTCCTTTTTTTGGCCAAACATTGTCTGTGAAGGCCGGAAATCGTGGCGATGTCGGCTGTGCTAACGCTGCTACTTGTGGCTTTCTTCTACGCCGGAATTGATACCACCATTTCCCTTACTCATTTCGGCGATTGTAAGTTTTTTTTCCCTTTCATTTTCTCTGAAATTATACATTGATTTTTGGTTTGCTCACTGTGTACTCCCTTTATTTTTGTTCTTTCAAATACTTTCTTGTTCATATATGTATATATTTAACGCAAATATGTAGTGTCTTTAACTAGCTACACTCAAGTTGTTCGTTGTTTGCTGTTTTGTTTTGTTTGTTTGTTTTTTAATATTGTGTTTCTTACTTTGTTTAAGAAAATGTAAAAGACCAAGATAAAGAGACAAGTTAAAGAACTCATTTTAAATTTAGGCTGGTTAAAAAAGATTAAATAAGAAGTAAAATCTTTGAAGTTATCTTGAGTTGGGAAATAAATTTTTGGAGTGTTGAATAGGAATAAAAAATGGTGGTTTTCCTATAATAAAGTACTTGGATGTTCCATGATTTGAGGGAAGCCAAAAAATGTGAGCGCCGGGAGCGAGCCTTACTAAAAAAAGGCCCCTCTCGAATAAAGCATGGGATTGAGTAGCGTGAAAGTCACGATCAGACCCTTACACAAGCAATGTGTGGATCTAAGGGATGTAAACATGAGAAAAGAGGAGGAACGAAATTTGTATATTTATTTTGATTTGAAGTTCTGATATTAAAAAAGAGAGAAGAAAGAGAAGAGAAATGGATAAAGTTTTAGAGATTGAGGAATGAAAGAAGGGTATTAAGATGCTATGCAAGAAGTGAGGGGAAAAAAATGAGAAATGAGGAGTTGTTGAGTCATAGGTTGAAACAAAGGAGCGAGAGAGAACCGAAGAAGAAGATGATCTATGGGACGTAGATAAACTGTTTCCGTTCATATACTAACTGTAAGAATTTTTAGAACTTCTAAAAAATGTTGAAGGGTAATAATGCTACTTTTGAAAGTTCATGACTATTTTTTGAATGTGGTACTAACGATTTCTAATTGATGAGCTTTGGAATAGAATGAAATATACAAACTAATGAGTTTTGGAATGTTGTTGGTGCAGCTGCGGCACTGGTGTCCCTGAAAAACGAATGGCAAAACACACCACCAAGCTGGGGAACATCAAATGATCCGTGTGGAACTCCCTGGGAAGGAGTGCTTTGCAACAATTCAAGAGTCACTGCACTGTAAATATCCTTTCCAAGGTTCACTTCTTTTCATTTTATATTTTGGTCAATCCTACTTATTGTGTTTGTCACCCTACTTCTTTAGGAGATTATCAGCTATGGGCCTAAAAGGTAAACTTGGTGGTGACATTGGAGGCCTGTCTGAACTAAAATCATTGTAAGTTGCATCAATCTCTGTTATGTTATGAGTACAAACTGCAACAACGTGACTTCTAACCATACGCATAAGAAAGGTTTCGTTCTTATGTATGATGCTTATTCATTGAGATCCTGAGTTTCTATTGTTCTTATTACAGGGACCTTTCGTTCAATACAGATCTCACTGGTTCGATCTCTCCGGCAATAGGGAAACTACAGAATTTGAATATCTTGTAAGGAGATAATTAATAAGGAAACTCATTTGATCCTATTAAACTTCTATGTCATTGTTTTTTTAGAGCTCAGATATTTTTTTTGTACTTTTAGGATCCTAGCTGGGTGTGGCTTCAGTGGCAATATTCCTGAAGAACTGGGCAATCTTTCTAAGCTATCCTTCTTGTGAGATTACATAGACAAATAAAATTTATTTATTGATAGGAAAACAAGGATTTTGCTTTTGATTGTTTGGTTTTGCTTAAAGTGTAGTCTCATTTTATGTCAGGGCGTTAAATTCTAACAAGTTCACCGGTACCATACCGCCATCTCTGGGAAAACTCTCCGAACTCTATTGGCTGGACCTAGCAAGTAATCAATTGACAGGCAGTATTCCCGTCTCAACTTCTGAATCTCCCGGTTTGGACCTCCTTCTGAAAGCTAAACATTTGTGAGTATTCTTAAAGGCAAAAGCAAATATATTCTCAAAATTAGATCCTATTACTTCCATGTTAAAAGCTTTCTCTGTGAATTGCAGTCATTTCAACAAAAACCAGTTATCGGGTTCCATTTCGCCTAAACTTTTTAGATCTGAAATGGTGTTAATACACATGTAAGTGGCTATAAATCCAATACTGATCTGTTCCTTAATTCTTTTCTCCCAAATCTTACTCGATTTTGTTTATCAGATTATTTGATGGAAATAGTCTTTCTGGGAGTATCCCTCCAACATTGGGACTTGTTAAGACCCTTGAGGTTCTGTGAGTACATGCACTAAACTTTTTTTCTCTCATAATTTGATCTCTACAACTTACTGAGGCTGTTCAAATATTATGTAACAGTCGACTCGATCGGAATTCTCTAACAGGATCAGTCCCATCAAATCTGAAAAACCTAACAAATGTCGCTGAATTGTGGGTACTCTTCTATAACAATTACATTAGTGTTTTATCAATAATCTGAACAATCAACTTTATTTTTCGTCTCTTCTATTCTGTACTTGTTTCAGGAATTTAGCCAACAATAAGTTGACTGGTCCAATGCCAAACTTAACTGATATGTACTCACTAAATTATGTGTAAGCATAGAGCAAGGAGCTATCATTTCCATTATGATCTTACATTAGTTCATTTATGGTGACTTTTTTTTTTTTCTCATTACGTTGTCTTTACAGGGACCTTAGTAATAACTCATTTGATTCATCAGCAGCTCCGGAATGGTTCTCAAATCTACAATCGCTCACCACTCTGTAAGTTCAAGCTTATCGTATGTTTTCCGACAATTCTGATAAGCGAGAATTTTTTAGAAGTTTTTGAAATGTTTGACATGTAATGATAAATGTTTGTTCTAACATGATTCCAGGGTTGTTGAACATGGTTCAATACAGGGATCTGTGCCACAAGCAGTCTTTAGCTTACCACAAATACAGCAAATGTAAGCTTTGATTTAATTATAAGATGTTGAATTACGAATTGGAACAAAAATGTTGATTTAATATTTCGAAAAGTTCGTTTTAGAAAACTGAAGAACAATTCATTCAATGGGACATTAAGTATGGGTGACACAATTAACCCACAGTTGCAGCTTGTTGATTTGCAAAGTAACGGTATTTCCGAATTTACCTTTGGTTCAGAATATACCAAAACTTTGATGTGAGTGAAATCCTTGCCATTTTTCTTAATATTAGATTTTATTTTGTTCTTTCACTTACCTTTATTCATTCACATGAATGGTTCTTGTTTTAGGCTGATAGGGAATCCTGTGTGTACCACTGATAACACCCTCTCAAATACGAAATATTGCCAGCTTCGAGATCATCCGACACAACCCTATTCCACCAGCCTTTTGTACTGTGGAAGCAAGTTGTGTCCTCCTGATGAGAAGTTAAACCCTCAGAGTTGTGAATGTGCCTTACCATTTCAAGGGACTTTATACTTTAGAGCACCCTCGTTCAGGGAATTGTCGAACGTGACGTTGTTTCACTTATTGGAATTGAGTCTTTGGACCAAACTGGAGCTTACGACTGGTTCGGTTTTTATTCAAAACCCTTTCTTTAATATTGACGATTATCTTCAGATGGAGCTTGCTCTTTTTCCGCCCAACGGAAAGTATTTTAATAGGTCGGATATTCAGAGGATTGGGTTTGCCTTGAGTAATCAAACTTACAAACCTCCCAAATTATTTGGGCCATTTTATTTCATTGCATCCCCCTATGGTTTTCCAGGTAATCTAATCTTAATAATGATTTCTACATAAAAATGTTACTCAGCTGTATGACTATGATGAACTGATTCTAAAAACATTGATGCCTTAAGACATGGCTAGGCGAACTTCAGTCAGCTCTGTAGTGATAATTGGGGTAGCTATTGGTTGTGCCATTCTCGTTCTAGGACTCATTGGAGTTGGAATATACGCGATTCGCCAAAAGAAACGTGCAGAAAAGGCCATCATATTGAGTCGGCCATTCGGTAAGCGATGTTAATTACTGTTGCTTTTATGGCCATCCATACTTTGTAGTTACATGGTTAACACTAATTTTATAGCTTCTTGGGCACCAAGTGGAGACGATAGTGGAGGTGCTCCACAGTTGAAGGGAGCTAGATGGTTTTCTTATGATGAACTTAAAAAATGCACAAATAGTTTCTCCATGAGCAATGAGATAGGATCTGGAGGATATGGCAAGGTAAATGTACAAATGAATGATTGTTACTGCTTTCTTGTTGTTCTTTTTCTCGTACGACGTGCTTTAGAGTTGTATTAGCACTGTCATCATCCTTGAAGGTATATAGAGGAGTGCTTGTGGATGGACAAGTAGTTGCAATCAAACGAGCTCAACAAGGATCAAGGCAGGGTGGCATCGAGTTCAAGACAGAAATCGAACTGCTTTCACGAGTTCATCACAAAAACCTTCTTGGCCTCATCGGATTTTGTTTTGAACAAGAAGAGCAGATGCTTGTTTATGAATTCATGCCTAATGGAACATTAAGAGATAGCCTATCTGGTAAGTTTTCTCAGATCTTTTGGGGTGTTGAACTCATTTTACGTTAGAAAAATGACCTGAAAAGGAAGTTAGGAATATTAGATTCTAGATTCTTTTTACTACTCAATACCTTGAAGACTATATCTCTAGCAAGTAACGACAACTATTATACGATAAGCCTTGTCCCCTTCGATTGCTCGATCCAACTTAGCCATGTTTTTAACTGTTTCGTTGAGATGTATGGCTTAACTAGTTGAGTTTTGTTCAGGTTGACCGTTAAAAATATCTGATTTCAAATAACACGTGCAACATTGAATTTAGGAAAATCTGGTATTATTCTTGATTGGAAGAGAAGACTTCGTATTGCACTTGGGTCGGCCAGAGGATTGACTTACTTACACGAACTTGCTAATCCTCCCATAATCCATAGAGACATTAAATCGACGAACATTCTTTTGGATGAACATTTAAATGCAAAAGTTGCAGATTTTGGCTTGTCCAAGCTTGTCTTAGACAGTCAAAAGGGGCACGTTTCTACTCAAGTTAAAGGAACACTGGTGAGTACTTCAGTATTATGTTTTCGTTGTTTCGTCAATCATTTTACTATAAATTATCGATCACGATATAGCATGGATGAGAAAATCTTAGTCTACTTGGAAAACTAAATTATCCGCTTAAAAACTTCACTTTCTTCGATCTGTTCGAGTAATAATTTAGATCATTATGATTGTCTTTCATATTTGTAGGGCTATTTAGATCCTGAATATTACATGACTCAACAATTGTCCGAGAAAAGTGATGTATATAGCTTCGGAGTCGTTATGTTGGAATTGTTAACCGCTAAGCTGCCTATTCAAAAAGGAAAGTACGTAGTTCGTGAGGTGCGTATGTTGATGAACAAAAATGAAGAAGAGTATTACGGTCTGAAGCAGATCCTGGATGCCGCCATACTAAACAATAGCACGGCTATTACTGGGCTTGGAAAGTTCTTGGAGTTGGCTATGCAATGCGTTGAAGAGTCAGCTGCAGAGCGCCCCACAATGAGTGAAGTGGCTAAGGCAATTGAGAGTATTTTGCAGAGTGATGGAATAGATACAAACGCGACAACTCCATCCACATCTGCTACTGAGTTTGGGGCTTCCAAAACTGCTCCTACGCATCCCTATAATGATCCTATAACAAAGGACACTGATGACAGTAAGGCTTTTGATTACAGTGGAGGACACACTCTTCCAACAAATGTGGAGCCCAAATAGAAATGGTTTTCACCATTTCTTGTGGAGTTGTAAGTATTTTATGCATTTTAGGATTTGTGTTGCACATGAACATATTTCTGATGTTGGTTATGCTTTCCTTGAACGACGTCATTTTCGTAATGTCGAGTTGTCGATTGGCCCGTGACGTTTGGAAGTTAATTTATTTGTAATCCGTGATTTATTATACTAAAGCACAGTTCATGAATGGCCTTTTCTTGTTCTTCTCCTCTAATGGAGTGTTTGTCACGTCGACCATTGTCGCTCTCCCTTTCTCAGTGCAACCCTCTTCCCTTCTCTTTTTCTTGTTTTCCATTTTTGTAACCGTTCAAGCCCACCACTAGTAGATATTGTCCTCTTTGGACTGGTTTTACGCGTATGCTAGATAGAGGTTTTTCATACCATTATAAGGAATGTTTTGTTTTCTTCTCCAATCGATGTGGGATCTCACACTGTTTCGTTCTCTTCTCCAACAAGATGTACCTCCCTTTTTGGTGGTTCAATCATAACAAATTTTAAGTTACTTGGCTTAGAGCGATTTTATAGGAAGTATGTGTGTGAAAACAAAGTATGTTGAAATGACTCAAAGCTAAGATGAATCATGTTGTTTCCCTAGTCTTTGGTCTATTGGAAGTGAACCTCTTGGGACTTGGAGTAATAGCTCGAGGCCACCACTAGTAGATATTGTTTGTTTTAGTTTGTTAGGTATCGTCATCAGCCTTAAGGTTTTAAAACGCAATTACCAAGGAGAGGTTTCCACACCCTTATAAGGAATACTTCATTTCTTTCTCCAAACGATGTGAATCTTATGATCCACCCCATTAGGGGCCCATCGTCTTCACTAACACACCGCTCGGTGCCTGACTCTAATACCAACTGCTAGCTGATATTGTCCGCTTTAGACCGTTACATATCGTTTTTTTACACTATTGTAAGCAAATACTTGGTTCCTCAATCAAACCATGTATTGTTATAATTGTACACTATTTGTTAAACCGTGACTTGTTATTAATACATCAATTATTTAATCTTGGATAAATGACGTCATAATTATCTTGAAGAAATGTTGCAATTTTTATTATTTAAAGCGGTTTATTAGGTAATATAATATAAATTGGCGTTACATCCACGACATTAGAAACCTACTTGTAGTTCACGCGAAAATGTGGCGCCCCTAAATTTGATTTCCGTGGAGTTTAACTCGCCGCCATGCCGTGGTGCCAAATACCTAGACATGCACTCTCGTGAAGAATTTTGAAGCTTGCAGTAGAGAAACTTCGCTGGAGCAGGAAATATTCTGGAGTTCGCATCGCAGCTGGATTTTATGACCTGATTGCTTCCTATTACCATAAATTGATGGGTGCTACAGCAGGAAGCATGGATCCGGATGCTGGTTCCTCGGAAAATGCTCAACGTTGGGCGAGGTTTATAGCCACATGCTTGATTGGAGGGACAGTGATCGGGGTATCGTTACTCGGCTTACATTTGGGGATTCCTCATCAGCCGTCGCTGAAGATATGGCGGAGGAAGAAGAAGCCCGTTCGTGTATACATGGATGGATGCTTCGACATGATGCACTACGGCCATTGCAACGCCCTCCGTCAGGCTAGAGCCCTCGGCGATCAATTGGTCGTAGGCGTCGTTAGCGATGCTGAAATAATTGCCAACAAAGGTCCTCCTGTTACTCCTCTTAACGAAAGGTTGTTGTTCTATCTTATTTTTTCTGTTACTCCTCGCATCCCTTCTGCCCTTTTAGCTTTGCTGTGAACTTGTATGTTTGCGTGTCTATGCCATTTCAAGCCTGTCTTATGCGACTGGTACCATTTCTTTTGCGCTTTTTGTAAACAGTGATGGATTTCAGTTTCTCAATGTAGTTCGCCTTGAACGTACTCTTCATGTAATTTTTCCGTATTTGGAGGATGAAAATTGATACGTACTTAATCCTTATATATGTTTTAGGATGATTATGGTCAGTGCCGTTAAATGGGTTGATGAAGTTATTCCGGACGCGCCCTATGCCATAACTGAAGATTTCATGAGAAAGCTATTTGACGAGTACAAGATAGATTATATCATTCATGGTGATGACCCTTGTGTTCTCCCTGATGGAACTGATGCTTATGCTCTTGCTAAGAAGGCAGGTCGCTACAAGCAGATCAAGCGCACAGAAGGAGTTTCAAGCACGGATATTGTAGGTTGGTATTCGACTGCCGTTTAATTAACTTCATAGCGCGTGGAGATCTGTTCAGCATCTTTGTCAGTAACTGTTGCCACTTTGTTTTCTTACTCCAAATGATTTTGTTGCTTATTATTTTTTTTCAAAGAAAGTCAGACCTGTAGAATTTCCTCTGGCCTAGTTTGTTGTAATTTTCTTTACGTAAAAATGAAATAATAATAACAATTACAACAGAGAATTCCAAAGGGGGGACGTCGTGATAAGAAAAGGGATATATAAATGATAAAAGACTTGGTGGGAATGGATTTAAGCATTGGTAGCCACCTATCTATAATTTAATATTCTATGAGTTACCTTAACAACTAAACGTAGTAGAATTAGATGGTCGTCCATTGAGAATAGTTGAGATGTATGGAAACTGGCCCGACTCATGGATATGAAAAGAGAAAAAACAATTACAATAGAGACTCGTGGATATGAAAAGAGAAAAAACAATTACAATAGAGAACTCCATTTTCTATATAAATTTGCAAAACGTGAAACAACTTCTTGGGTCTTAACATTTTACTGCATATTAATTTTATAAATTTATATAAATGTTTGGACCAAAGAAATTCTTTAAGCCAGACTAATCCTTGAAATCTTCTCCTTGATTGTTTTATCCTGTTTGATTAGTCTTTTTGATAATATCATAACATGTACAGGTCGCATGCTTCTTTGTGTGAGAGAGAGGTCTATTAGTGACACTCAAAATCATTCGTCATTACAAAGACAGTTCAGTCATGGTCATAGCCAGAAACTTGATGATAGTGGATCTAGAAATGGAACTCGCGTCTCTCATTTTTTACCAACTTCTCGTAGAATTGTTCAATTTTCCAATGGGAAGGTTTGTACTTCCCCTCAATGCTAGTTGTTTGAATCAATATGGGCTACTGGTAGTGTCTCTCTCTAAATTTTATTTATATTTTTGTACATTTTTGGAAGTCTTCAGATTTAAGTTTATGTACTAATATATAGGATGTAGTTGTGATTTTCTTTTTTCTTCTCTATTTTTTTCCCCAATATCTATGATCTTGAATGCACCCCACGACCACGAGGTGGATTCATGTGCCCTAATGCTAGTTTAGAGGGACTTGAACAAACTTTGTGCCTGGAAGCTTGAACCTATGACTTTGGGAACTTCTCTCCTCACATATCAAGCTCTTACTACTACGGTTGTCCCCACAAATGATAATTTTGGTTTATGATGTTATATGATACAAATGATGAATCATGGTTGAAAGGTCAACTAGTTCAAAGGAGTGTTTCCTTTTTTTTTTTTTTCCACCTTTCTCGAGATCTTTCTTTGACTTAATTATTTATTGGTTCCTTTCATGCAGTTTGTGTATGGATGGTTTTATTGATCTTTTAGTTCATAAATTTAAAAGATTTTTCCATGTTTTTCTATTTCTATCTTGATGATATGACATGAATTAGATGGGAGGTTGTCTCAAAGCCAACTGAGTAGGGTGGGTCAGCCATAGAAATCTTAGAGTACACAAAGGCCCTCTAGCTACTTATAGCCTCTCTCTTTGCAGCACAAGACATGTCAGCATATACAGTGCTTGTCCTTTTGAGTGGGGGACTATTCATGGGTGAAAGGCACTTTTGGAACTTTCATCAACTCCCTTTGTGAATTTATTTAGTTTCAATCGAGGATGGTATTGGCACTTGTGCTTGGGAATATTAGTGATAGGAGATACCGCTTCATTGTTGTTTCCCACAACTTAATTTCTTGTCTTCTTCGGAATTTGCTTCAATTTCCCATGTCCTAGAAGAAATGAGATTTGATTCTGGTTATTTCCACTTTGTTTTTTTGCAATATGTGAATTCTTGATTTCTTTATTGCAAGGCTTTTGCTTTCAATCTCAATCCAAGGTGTTAGTGAGTATAGCTCTCCTCATTCACACTCTTCCTCATGTTTCTTTACGTTGAAAATGAGGGTCCCTAGGAAGGTTAGTGTTTTTTGCCTAGCGAATCATTCATGATGAGATAAACTTTATGGATTCAATATAGAGTCCTCTCTCACTCCTTTTAGGTCCTCAGGGGTGAGCGCTGTGTAAAAATGCCTTGGGAGTACTTAGCTCTTGTGTCACATAGGTAGAGGTGTTGTTCCTTTTGGAGGAAAGGGAGGTCTAGGAAGGAGGTTTGATCCACAATAAGATTGAATACCTCTATCCACAGTATGGTTTTTCATTGAAAAATATATTTTAGTCCATGTACTTTCTTATCATAAAGAGTTCACCTTAGGCCCTTTATTTTACAAACGTTCCTTTTAGTCCTTGTTTTTTTTAAATGTGTTCATTTTGTCCCAGCTGTTAGTATATTATTAAAAATCTAATTACTTTTTTTAAAAAATATGTTCCTTGTTTTTTTTTAAATATTCGAAAGGATTAGAATAAAATTATCACAATATGTCCTTGCTTGTGGCTGCAGGGGCCAGGACCAGATGCTCGCATTGTTTATATAGATGGTGCATTTGATCTTTTTCATGCTGGACATGTGGAGGTAAATAATGGTTCTTTTTTTTTTTTTTTAATTTTCGTGGATATTTGATCATTGGTACACTTTTTTACCGCTTGTTATTCTTCCCCTCCTTATCACTGGAAAATGTTTGGGTTGGTTTTGTTCAATTGTTTTTGGGGTTAAATTATTTCGAGGTTGCATTTGATAGGTTCCTAAGTGTCTAATAGATTATTGAACCTTCAATTTTGTGTCTAATATGATCCTCAAATTTAAAGCACCTGGGAATTTAGCTTTTAATGCTCCTAGTCTGCATGTTGAGGATGCCGTAATTAATGAGAAGATGAGCTGTCGACCTTTAATGAATCAATAGTTTATAATGATCAGACAGATTCTCTGTTTAATGCCATGTTCGATGCAATTAAAGAAAGGAATTCGTCCAAGGCTAATGTGAATATTTGAACTTATTATTGTGTTTCATAGATTTTGAAGCATGCCCGAGCTATGGGAGATTTTCTTCTGGTTGGAATACATACTGATCT